ATAACTAAAATTGTTCTGGGCTAAAACAGCAATACTGTGTTCTTCATCCGTTCAATAAGAACAGTGGAACTATTGTTTCACTAATAAATTGAGTAAACTTATGGTGAAAACAGTGTAATATGTTTTAATGAGCCACTATGGAAGAGATATGCTCATTACTAAGACAAAATGCAGAAAAATCCTTTCACTTCTATGCATAAACTATTAGCTGTAACTGCTGCCGTTGTGTTTTCCTATAGGTCTACACTATAGATCAGTCTAGAAGCTGGGTTAAAAGTTATCCTCTCCTTTCCTTCGGGAAGACCAATGAGCACAATGGTATTAGTCACTTAACTTTTCTGATGAATAATAAATGCAATAACTGCAGCTCATGGATGAGAAACTGTCTGTCTAAATACTCTGAAGCTTTTAAATTCTGTAGTTATATCAATGACCAGTTACATTGATGTAAGATTTTTCGTACCTTCCTACTACTTTGAGAATTGATGGTTTTAATACCAAATGCTGCTGATTAAATGAAAAACCCTGCTTTTTAAGTAACCTGCTGTATCAATAAAGAGTGAGCTCTGACTTTTCAACATGGCTAGAGTCTCCCTATCAAAATGTACACCTTCCATCCCCCCATCGCATTGTAGGTTCTTGACATCTGGGGAGGACTTGGCCCACTTCTATTGCAAATGAGTCCTCTGCTTTAGCTCTCCTGCCCGGCAGGGAAGCAAGGCATCCGCACTTCAGGCCTCTGCCACCGCTATTCAGCTATCCTGACAGCATTTACTCCTAGACCTACAGTCCTGAATTAAGAGCTTAGGGTTATACGGAATCCAGATGTTTCAAATGCTCATTGGTCCGTTGCACTGAGGTTTCTGCTGTCAAAGAAAGATAATTTGTTAATGATAACCAAGCTTTAAATGCAGGGGTGGTTACATTTCTGAGTAAAATTTGTGTACTTATGGGAAATAAAGGCATGCTTAAAATTATGTGGAAATAATGTTGGTTATTACAAAGTAGAAAAGGGAAACATTACCTACGATGATAACTATATTTTAATTATTGTTAAAAGCTCACAGTTTATTCCATAAGATTGTATTGTACCAAAAGCCAATGACTACAGCTTTCCAAAGACCAAGAAGTGGTATAAACTTAAAATGGCTTTATTTTCCTGAGAGTGGCCTTTGAAACAAGATGACTGAAAACACATCTGAGAGTATTTAATGTCTAATTACACTATTTTGCTGCAACAGAAAAGGCCACTTTTGTATTTAACCTAAAGAAAATAACAAGAAAACATTGAACTTCTAACCTAGATGAAAAAATTCTTCAAGACTTTAAGAATTTTCATCTCTTGGTCTTTTCTTACGAACTTGATAGTAGTTTGAACTGTCAGCATCTAGGCATCTGGACCTACCTGCCTCCACGGACACACTGAAGTGTTAACAGTTGAGAAACTTTTATCCTTGGTCACATTAGCAATTAGGATATGGAAATTAAATAACCTGGCTTCAGAGCATTATTTAGGTTTAATCAACAGTTTATGATACAAATCAAACCATCTCAGAGGCATGAACCTTTAAGGAATCACGCTTCACAAGAACACAAAACATTTATAGTATCCCTTAAAGTGCGGGGGAAGAGATTACAGGAACCAAACGTACCTTTCTGTGCTGATTTCTTGGGCAAACTTAAAAATGTCTTGAAAATAGCCCTGAATGCTTTAAGCTGAGAAAGAAACCTGGCTAAAGATACTGACTGATCTGCTGTGTAACAATCTGGGGGCAAAAGCCACTAGGTTGAACCTGAGCAAACAGATGAGTTTATATCTTAGGGCTTGTTGGTGAGGCTTGCCACCACACCAAGGTGAAACTGATCACACAATCAACTGGTGTGTTTAGCATAGAGAGTTTTTTGTTTTGTTCTTTAAATGACATGTAGTCTTGCTTTTAAAATGGCCTTCGTGGTCTTGATTGGAGATGCTCTACAATTAAAGTTGGGAAGATGGTTAAAAACTTGAAAATTTAGGTGTATTAGATCTTTAAATAATGAAAGCTTCTGGGAAGAGAAGTATTTGTTTAAAAGTTACTGTAATGTGGCATTACTTTATAGTTGACAGTGTTGGATAAACAACAACAATAATACTGACAGTTGGCAAGCCTGAATCCAGTGGGAAATTACAAGGAAAACACTCAAGTTTTGAAATCCCTATTTAGACTTTCTATATTGGTGAAATGGGGATGAAGGAAGGCGATGCAGGGGGAGAAAAATATTAGTAGCCGCTGTAAATTGAATCTCAAATCCTAGTGCTGTTGGAACCAAAAATGTGACCCCTTACTATAAAATACAGATCCTTGATTAGCAGCCATTAGCCAGAGGACTGTTGAGGGACCAGAAGAAAAGGAAGGATTTCTGATGAGACCATGCAGATTACTGGTTATTAGAGGCACTGGACATTAAGTATTTAGGTTTAGATTCTCAGAGTAAAGATGCTAACAAAGACATGATCGGCTTGCTTTGTAGGGTAAGTGGGTAGGTCAGATTATTGTTTTGGGTTTAAAAGAAAATGGGAAAAGGTTCCCAGTAGAAGAAACCTTAACACTATTATTTTGCAAACCATTATCTGGTATCTTGGGGGGAGGCTACTTATCTATTACCTATTAAATTTAGATTGCCTTGGAGTCTTTACAGGTTGGTGTTCACCTATCTTACCTAACAAGCTATTTTGAGAATCACTTCTAGATCCACTGAACTTGTGACAAATAATCTTTCCAAATATGGGCAATCATCTGAGAAGCCAGGACTGGAGAGAAATGAGTCCTGGGGTAATTCCTGCAACCACCCATTAATGTTGTCATAGGCAGTGTCTGAGCAATTTTGATCTGAAAGGATGATAGCCCTCTGAAAAAGTTTTCTGTGGTCATAAGATTAATCCTGGAACCCAAAAGTCATTTCCAATTTGACCATGCCGCCACACTTTCCACAAAGCCACAACTCCACTGAGTCCCAGGCCGTGGTCAGAGTTCTGAAAGCAGCCCTGAGGTTGTCATCTCCAAGTAGGCACTTGTTTGTAAGTATTTGTTTACCGGAGCCCACTCAGGAGCAGAAAGAAGCTATAGGCTGTTAGGGGGGATGGAACAATGAGTCAGAAGGCCTCCCAACTTTCACACTAATTCAAGGGGGAAATCCCTGAAGACTAGCTATGGCTTATGAATGGAGACTATAGTGACCCTTGGTATCCACAGGCCAGAGAGGCAACGTGGAGGTCCTGTGCTCGCCCCCTAGCTGGAGTGACCTTTTGTTCTTAGTTCACAGACAGGAATAGCTGTTTTAGTTCCACCCAGTAAGTACTTCATAAATGACTTCTATAGCAAAAATATTGTTGAAAAGTATTTATTTACACCATAGTCATAAACAATCCATTATCTGAACTCCAGTTAGTGGTTTTATGTTAGAATAGATTGTTTATTTTTCCACAACTATTAAGAGCTAATGAGCAAATCAGCTGCAGTGACATTATGCACATTCTCATCTGAAATTTGACTACAAAGGTAACACTTTTAAGTCACAAAACAGAGCATACAAAAATATACTTTCTAAAAAAATTCCAAATATTAATAGGCAGAAATATACAGCCATACTTAAACCCAGGGAATGATTTTTTTTTCCATTGTAAGGCATCTTGTATACATGCAGACCCTGTAACACTGCCCACATCACAAAAGGCACAGAGGACACTTCCAACACAACTGCATGCATCCTATGTACACCCCCCTTTAAATAAGTTAACCACTGACTCATTTCAAGAGATCATAAATGCTTTACATTTTTTTCCCGAAGGTTCAGAACTCGGAGAACAGTGCACATCAAAAATACACAAAATCTGAATGGATATACACTGAAAAAATAATCTTTGTTTCTCAACAAAAAGGAGCCAATATTGCTTTGCCCCCCCCCCACCATTGCACTTCTGTTCTCTGAGTTTTTAGTACATATTGCTTAAGGGTTGAGACGGCTAGATACACATCAATTCACTGTTCTGGGGCTACACAGAATACCGCAGCCCAGACCAGGCTCCTCTAACTGTACAATTTTCCCACATCAGTCCCAAGCCATAAAGTGCAATGTCAGTTTTTCTTAGTCTTTTTTGCTGGCCTCACTCAGAGGAATCAGCATCTCCCAACCTCTTGTAGAAAAAGTCTCAGAACAACTCTGGCATCCAGGGTCAAAACAAAGGGAAGGACTAGCAAAACCTAGTGAGAAGTCTCTCAGTCAGAACCAGACCGGCAGCCCTCTAGTCCAGGGACCCTCACCCAACCCTCTTCTGGCTCCCCATTGCTTGGAGTGGCAGTCAACTTCCCAAAGAGAGAAACGGCCTACATTTTAGGAAGGCCCTGTGTCTAGGAAGGTGGAGCAGGGCCGGGCTCCATCAAGGTCCTTTGCCGAGGATCACAGGGAGGAACCAGGAAGGGTGGTAGTGTTGCGCAGCTCAAGTGGACGGAGGGCCTCTGGGGCATGGAGAAAATGGTGTGTCAGCCAGAGCTTCATCTCATGGTGTCCTGGTCCGAGAGGTGCAGGCCAGTGGTCCTCCAATGGTGCTGTTACTGCACAGGCTGCCTCCTGCCTGCGAGCCCCCAGGACCTGAGGCTGACGGCTGGGCAGACGCAGATGAGGAGGGGGCACTGCTCTTCCGCTCCTTCTGTCGAAGGTGGATCTTGGTGTGGCGCTTCCTTTCATCACTCCTGGCAAACTTGCGGCCACAATAGTCACAAGCGAAGGGCTTCTCCCCGGTGTGGGTGCGGATGTGAGTGGTGAGGTGGTCACTTCTGCTGAAGTTTCGCATGCAGATCCGACACTGAAAGGGCTTGTGGCCCGTGTGGATTCTGATGTGCCGGGTCAGCTCATCAGAGCGCGAGAACCGCCTGTCACAGCCTTCTGCTGGACAGGGGTAGGGCCTTTCGTGAACTGGTGTCTTGCTGGGCCTGTTCGGGTACTTTCGAGGCCTCAGGATGGGCCGCAAAGGCAGGTGATGCGGGTTATAGGGGCTAGTAGTCACTGCTGCAGAGCCACTGCCAGTCAGTCGGGGTCCCTCACTGCCTCCACTAGCCCCTGGTCCGGTGACTCCAGCACTGGGCCCCCCCAGAGTAAAATTACGGATGGTAGAGAGTGGAGTGAGCGGAGGGGGGACCCTCAGGGAGTCCAGAGGGCAGGGAAACGGCTTTCGATCAGGGCCAGCAGCACCATGCGGATCTCTCTGGCACGGAGATGGAAAAAATCCAGGATAGTCTGGGATCATAGGAATGAGACCTGGGTCCATGGCTGGCTTGGGGGATGGGTAGGAAGGAGGTGGCTGGTAGGCCAGAGAGGAGGTGGAAGTGGTGGGTGGCGACAGGAATGCTGAAGGGTCCTGGTAGAGATCTCCTGTACAGCCCGAATAAGGAGGTGGTGGTGGTGGTGGAGAGTACAAGTGGTCCAGTTCAGGCTGGGTCTGGGACATGGTACACACACCCAGAGGTCCCGTTGCCAGTGGGTTGGGGGAGGCAGAGGTGACGCTGGATGAGGCTGTGGTTGAAGCTGGAGGAGTGACCCCTTGCAAGATGCCCGCACTCACAATATTGATGATGCCTTCGGGATAGCAGCTGGCACCAGGGTACTGGGGGTCAATGGAGAATTTGCCCATGTACGTGAAGGTCTGGTTTCTAGGTGCAGAGATGGGAGCAAAGCTACTGGGATATGGGAGATCCAAGGGCCTCTTCTCTCCAGTCATGTCAATGTTGATCATGCCATCTGGGGAGGGGAGGCAAGAAAGAGAAGGAACAATGAGAATGTAGCCAAGAACCAATTCACACACGCGCACGTGTGTGTACGCGTGTACACACACACACACACACACACACACACACACACACACACA